GTAGCACAGGACAGTTCCTGGCCCAGAGTAGACATTTGATATTGTATTTGTTGAATAAACGTCGAAAGACTGATAAGTACTGTAACTATAGTATATGTGAACATGTCTTTTGAAAGAAAAAAAAGGTCAACTTCTAGATAGTTGTGAAATATCCTTTACGTCTAACTTATCCTTCAGTCTGTCAGTGTATACACACATACACACACACACAAGTATAAAGGAGATTGATTGACTTGAGGTTAACACTGAGTGACATATGTGTACAGAGATACTAAGTGATATATACCTGAAATCCTTTTATTTTTTCATGTATTACCATTTAGATATCAAAGTAATTACTTTTCTTGCTATTATTGTTTCCAATCAGATAAGAGAGTATGATTAAGAAAATAGAGTTGATTCATTACAACACTGTAGACTAGTGCTATTAGCCAACTTACTGCTGTTCTCATAAAAATTATGCAATTTAAACTGGAAGATACAAGTGCCTGCTTCTATTAGAAACAAGAACACTTTTCTACTTCATAATATGCTCAATTACCTTTAGATTGATCCATGAATAAATTATAATCCAAATAGACTTCTTTACCTTAAAGCTTTGCTGGCTTAAGGTATCAGTGTTGATTCATTATGTTGTCACTTTTCTATCGGCAACGTAATGCTTTTTATATCTGGATAAAGACAGTTTTCATGGGAGATACTGTTATCTTTAAATGAGTAGGATTTAGCGTTTCTGGTGAGAGAAAATTCATCAATGATGAATCCCTGGAGAAACTATTGAAACAAAAATCACACCATTTCTGAGCTCTATTCAGTTCATCAGTTACAAGGCAGCTTTTGATAGTCCTAAAGAACTTTTTCCTTTGTTTAAGAAATATAGCATGATGCGCAAAACCTCTCACTTTAAGTTACCTGAGGCTTCAACTTTTTCTGTAAGGAAATAATGAGTAAAGAGGAAAAGCTCCTGCTGCTGGCTCTGTCAGGCCCTGCTGCTTCTCCTCCTGCGATAGGAAATCAATTAACTATATGTTCAGGCAGAGATCTGAACTAAATGCTTTATTCATCACCACTGATTGCACACACACACACAGTGGCCAACTGTGCATTCACCTTCCTTCTTTCTTAGCTTTGTTTTGCTTCGTTGTTGATTTTTTGTTTTGTTTTGGAAATATTAGAACACAAACGTATGCCCAAATGTAGGTGATCCTCCGGTGTAGAAGAGACTTGATCTTTTTTATGTTTTCAGAAAACTTAGCTTTTAAAGTGTTTAGTATCCAAATATCCTAGAGCCACTTAAACACATACAACATAATTTTTTTTTGAAGCACTTAATTTTTTTATATTAATGAAGAAGGCAAAATGCCTCTGGCAGCCTTGAAGTTTTGGAAGCTGGTACTATACCTTACCCTCTGGGATCTCCATAGGACAGTGAGGAGTTACACACAAATGAACCAATTTGATCTGGAGATGAGTGATGGAAGGTTGAGGGAGTAGTCGTTGATATTATGTGTGTGTGTGCACTTTCAAATTAAAGAAAAATTTGGCAACAGTTTTCCTTTAAGTCCATGGATTCTTCTAACCAATGCACAGAGAAGATCCTATAGTAATCTTTATGTTAAATTGAGAATGCCTTCTTAGGTCTAATTATAAAAGATTAGTGCATTAGGGTTATAGCACTGTTAATCATGGAAAGTCTGCATGGCATAAATTTATATGTGGCCAATGTAGTCAACTATTGCAAAAAATTACAGAAAATAGGCTGTTGGATGTTTACTCAAGCTGTATTCCTTTCGGCATCAAGCGATTTTCAAATCCTCACCATCATCATCCTCATCGTCATTATTATCCTCATTATTATTGCCATTGTTGGAACAATTTGAAATCATCATGGTTTAAATTTAACTGCATTCTTTCTCTCCATTTGGAAAAGAATAAGCTAAATGGAAAAAAAAATTCTCCTCTGATCTATGTTTAAAGCAAAGTATATCAAAATTTCCAGGAATAATGTTTTTTTAACAGCCTTTACAAAAGTCTTAGGTGGAATTAGACGGTGTTGAGTAAGGTAAAAAAACCCAGTCAGGGAGCCAAGGTAATGGTTCAGAGTTTCCTGGCGCTTGCTAACGTGAGAGTCTGCTGGAACCAGAGGTCATGTGCTTCAACACTTAACCCATTCCCGATAATCTTCAAGTATATAAGATCAGGGTTGAGGTGCCCTTGATGTGTAAGAGATTCATGGAGAGAGTGGCATTATGACAAGATTTATATCATGTGGACATGTGTTCACCACCTTATGAGGTGTTATCTGGACCCCAAGGGCATTTCTTTGGCACCAAGTTTAATCCATAACACCTCATCTGCCCCAGGAAAAAGTCATTTCATAAAAGGACTTTTCAAGCAAGGATTATCTTTTCTATATAAAGGAGGCTTACATATGTGATGAGTATTGAGGATTTGTTTTATGGTCTTATTTATTTTATGCTTTTAATAAGTCAGCATAACTTGTTTTATGGTAAAACAAATACATAATGTTCTCCTCCTCCATCGAATCATTTCATATTACTGCAAGCATTAAATATTGTAATTTAGGAAAGCATTAAGGTGCAGAGATGAAATACATAGTTCTATTCTAATTGTATATAAATTAATTCAGCATTCATAACATTGTTTCTGTTTACTTGACTTGTTGATATAATTACAGTGAATTGATAATGGAAGTATCAGTCTTAGATATTTCCACATAAATACATTCTTTGCTAATATAAATTTATAGTTGCAGTTTGCCACTTGACTTGATTGGAATATGGTTTAAGCTTAGTTTACCCAACTCTGCTGAGATCTCTAGAGGGCCGGAGAACTCATTCTCTTGGGTATTATGCAACCTGGCAAGAGGAGGCCAGTGTTTCGAAAGAAGTGTGATTTTTTCACCAACGTACTTGCTAGGTCAGAGATCAGGATGACCTTGGAGTGCTGTAGTTTTCCAAACCTCCATCAGCTAGATAAATGTGCTTTATTCTGCAGGAGAAAGAGGGTGTTTTTGCAGTCTTATAAAAGAGACCTAGCAATTCCAGGTTACAGGCTGACACAAAACATTTGGAATTCAGTGGTGTCTCTCACTAGAAGTATGTGTCAGTAAAAGTGAAGATCAAAGGTTCTAGAAGAGGGTAAGGACAAAGTGAAGAGGAAATCATTGTGGGATAATGAATGGTATAAGGGCATTTTTGTGTTAACTTGAAACCACTTAGCATTTTTCCATGACACCCAGGTATTTCTAAATGAACTTCGTAGAGTACAATTGAATAACCTTGAGATTTAAAGCTCCATGATGTGATTTTGAATACTGATGTGGTTTGTTTAAACACTGATATTTCCTCTGCTTTTCATTTCTATTTTTGCCTGCTTCGTGTAAAATAAAATTTATTTTCTGTACAGAGAAATCAATATTTTTACCATTTTGTTTTTCAGCTATTCCAGTAAATTGCAATCAACATTAGTTACAATCTTTAAAGAGATGTGGTAAGAATTTGAACACAATAAAATAGAGACACAAATTAGAACTTTGGCAAAGTACCTTTGTTATTGACAAAGGCATTTGTCAAGGACTACGCTGTGTCTATATTGTGCTAAAAACCTGACGAAGGGGGAAAAAAGCATCAGTAGGTTTTACTTTTGTCTATACAAACAAAACAAATTATTGAACTAATAGCTATTGTTTTAAGTGAATAGATTTGGTTTACCAAATCTGAACTTTATTCCATTTAGAAATAAATTTTAATTAACAGTTGTATATCTAATACATACATATTTGGTAAAGGTATTGTGCTCTTTTGTTCTTTCTAATAATTAATGGAATCTGATACCTAGAAGACCAGTGGTCCAAGAATGAATTAATACCTAGTTACAGTATACATAAAACAATCCCCAAACACACATTTGTTTGTTGATAATATCTGTGTTTGTACCCTCCCATCTTTCTCTGCTATGAACTAATGTGCTTTCTTATTTGTGTGTTTTCCTTTTAGAAACTGCCAAGTTTTGGACCTTATCTTGAGCAGCGCAAGAAAATCATAGCAGAACACAAGATTAGACTGAAAGAACAAAATACAGCTTTCTCACCGCTTGAAAGAAATTATTTTACCCCCCAAAAGCCTATTCCTACCATCAAGGTAAAAATTAAATGTATAAATGTCTATTTCACTGCTTAAATACACAAATATAGTTTAAATGTTTATTTGCTGTATAAATGTATCACTGATTTTGTTTTACAAATATACTGAAAGTTTTAAAAGTTCTGTTTCAGGTAAAAAATGCATTTAAATAATAGAATAACCTCTTTTATTAGTATATTTTATACTTTTTAGAGCAATGTCAAGCATGTGTTTTACAGAAATTTTTGTATAGACCTCTTATTGTTTTCTCAGAAGATATTAAGGTGAATTTTTTGTTTTCTCATAGTCATTTAAAAAATATTTTAAGGGCCGGCCCGGTGGCGCACTGCTACAGTGTGCCGCTTGGGAGCACGGTGGCGCTCCCGCTGAGGGTTCGGATCCCACATACAGACCGGTTCCCGC